TAGGCAATTAAACACTTGTCTATATTTCATTAACTTTCTAAATCCAGATCATTTTTTATTAAGATCCTTTTACATGTACCAGGATTAAACGAGTATGATTTTCCCACTATTCAGAATCTAACCCTTTGGCTCCGAAGGAGAAACCCTTAATACGGCATTGTGCTCTCTTGGCAAAACAAATCTCCAAACCACATTTCCGTCGTTTGTTCTCGATTAGCAGCGTCCGGAAACTTTAATGGAATCTTATACAGGAATTGGATACCTATTGGAAATAGTAGGGGTAATTGGTCACCTTACAAAATCGAACTTTTTCCTGATGCCGTCATATATTGGGTGTATAGAAATCCCAATCACCATATGCTCCATTGTGGGGGAAGCGGTGGCCAAGTGGTTAAGGCGTCTGACATTCTGCTTCCACTAGCTCTCCACCACTAGGTCGCGGGTTCGAGGCCAACGTGTGGCAGTCGCCAGGTACTGGCCGTAGGTCGTATTTTTCTCGGGGAACTCCGACTTTCCTCCACCCACATAACCTTGTACGTCTTAAAATGATCATAGCTGTTAGTAGGACGTAAAACACAATCAAACAAACAAACAAGCAAATGCTCCATTGCGATTCTACGGACCTCTGTTATCTCCCTTTCATCCAGTTGTGTTTCGCAAGGTACCTCAGTTTAGCAGTTGTTAAAATAATGTGACCCGTAATGTATTATGCTACTGTGTCTAATTTTAAGCATGACTTTACCTTTATGTAGTCCCAAGGTGATCTTACGGATGGCCATAGCTGTTATCTGAATGCTAAACCATGTAAAACCAAACCGAAACCGTTTCTTGGTGACTGAAGCTGTTGTCTGAACCTTGTAAAAACCAAACCGAACCGTTACTTGGTGACCGTAGCTGTTGTCTGAACCTTGTAAAACCAAACCGAACCGTTTCTTGGTGACTGTAGTTGTTGTCTGAAACTTGTAAAACCAAACCGAACCGTTTCATGGTGACCGTAGCTGTTGTCTGAACCTTGTAAAACCAAACCAAACCGGTTCTTGGTGACTGTAGCTGTTGTCTGAACCTTGTAAAACCAAACCGAACCGTTTCTTTGTGACTGTAGCTGTTGTCTGAACCTTGTAAAACCATACCAAACCGATTCTTGGTGACTGTAGCTGTTGTCTGAACCTTGTAAAACCAAACCAAACCGATTCTCGGTGACCGTAGCTGTTGTCTGAACCTTGTAAAACCAAACCGAACCGATTCTTGGTGACTGTAGCTGTTGTCTGAACCTTGTAAAACCAAACCAAACCGATTCTCGGTGACCGTAGCTGTTGTCTGAACCTTGTAAAACCAAACCGAACCGATTCTTGGTGACTGTAGCTGTTGTATGAACCTTGTAAAACCAAACCAAACCGATTCTCGGTGACCGTAGCTGTTGTCTGAACCTTGTAAAACCAAACCGAACCGATTCTTGGTGACTGTAGCTGTTGTATGAACCTTGTAAAACCAAACCAAACCGATTCTCGGTGACCGTAGCTGTTGTCTGAACCTTGTAAAACCAAACCGAACCGATTCTTGGTGACTGTAGCTGTTGTATGAACCTTGTAAAACCAAACCAAACCGACTCTTGGTGACTGTAGCTGTTGTCTGAACCTTGTAAAACCAAACCAAACCGATTCTCGGTGACCGTAGCTGTTGTCTGAACCTTGTAAAACCAAACCAAACCGATCATTGGTGACTGTAGCTGTTGGCTGAACCTTGTAAAACCAAACCAACCTATTCTTGGTGGCTGTAGCTATTGTCTGAACCTTGTAAAACCAAATCAAACCGGTTCTTGGTGACTGTAGCTGTTGTCTGAACATTGTAAAACAAAACAAAACCGTTTCTTGGTGACTGTAGCTGTTGTCTAAACCTTGTAAAACCAAACCAAACCGATCATTGGTGACCGTAGCTGTTGTCTGAACCTTGTAAAACCAAACCGATCATTGGTGACTGTAGCTGTTGTCTGAACCTTGTAAAACCAAACCAAACCGATTCTTGGTGACTGTAGCTGTTGTCTGAACCTTGTAAAACCATACCAAACCGATCATTGGTGACCGTAGCTGTTGTCTGAATATTGTAAAAACATACCAAACCGATCTTTTATCAATGAACAACTCCGTAATATGACCTTAGCTGGTCCTAGCATCTTTGGACAGTATCGTCATACGACCATATCTTTTGAGTGGCTGCGTCATCATCGAACGCTGTCGTCGTATGACCCTGCCTGTGGAAATGATAAAAACAGGCAGAGAGGAGCTTTGGAATTCGTCATTCTAACATTCACATGGTAAATATGAAATGTGAAATACTAGCAGTCCTATACACGTCGTTAATCAGGCCTGATCGGGAGTACTGCAATCCAATCTGGTCTCCCAACCTAAACAACAGTTATCGAACAGTTTAAAGAAGGACTTCTTAACGTATAACTGCACGATTTGCGAGGTTCATTAACGGACGCATCAATACAGGAGAGACATATTTAATACAACTTAATACAAATTATGGTTGGTATTAATGAAGTAAACATCAACTATGTGTACATAGGAAACACTTATCCAACCGCTAGCATAGTTTGGACGAAGATGCAATCAAGTCTACAACATGTTGACCCTTTCCCCCAAGGATAGCCAAACCCTCCCCTTAGATATCGATGTGTTTCCTTGGCAAAACGATGCCCCTGACCAAAAGCAGCCGCTGTATAACTGTGAACGACAAATCGTTATCAGTATGTAGTAAGCAGTAGGGAGTGAAAGCTGACTTCAAAATACACAAAACATTTGGAACTGTATATTTTATATATAAACCATTGAATAACCATCAAGCCGAAACCGGAATACACCTATGATCTAGTTGAGGAATACCTCCGGCACACTACACACCAATCGGCGCTGAATCCGCATCTAAAACCTTTTATGTCAACGTTCTAACAAAAAAAGGTTATTGTAATGGTTGATAACAATTACAGAAATATATAACATTGACCCCAACAAGTTTCCATATTATAAGTTTGTATGCGGTGATTTGTGACTCACTACATACCAGACATAGTAAACAAGGGCCCCAGGCCCAACGGCCCCCCTCAGGCCGGGATAACATGCGTTCACGTGTGTAAGTTCACTTGCTGAATTTTAGTTAGCGTTTGTATTAACAGAAGACAGAGACATGTCGCATAGCTTGTCCTTTTGTCTTGATCGTTTGAGTAGAGATGCCAAAACAGTGCTGTGTGTCGTAGCGTAAAACGTGTACGTACGTGAACTTTAACACGAAACGGAAATAGGGACTCAAGAAAATTCGTCATCCATCTTACTCGGTCGTCATTATATCACCCATTCATATAAAAACGTGAATGACACACTCCTGCCCAAGGTCACAGCCGTAGAATACACACACATTTTACATCTCGTGAACAGGCATCTTTGATGACTAACCGTGTACGTCATAAACCTATTTTATAATATTCACATCAATTAAATGTGACATTTAGGTATAAGTCAGACTAATGTTACCGCATGTTTGAACTTGTCTTCACGCTCATCATTAAAATCGAATTAAGCATTTCTTCAAACGTCTTAATTCTTGTTTTAAAATAATTTTACTTACCATTATTGCGCGGAATAATTATTTTAAAGGGACTCGAACAATAGGTGCGCTTATTGTATATAGAGTTTGTTAATAATCCGTTCACTGGGTGCACCAAGTTACGTGGGGGTTGTTTATAGTCAGGGTAGCTTACACATGTACGTATCCCACAGCATAACAGGTTTGGCTGTGCTGTTTGGCCGAATAAATAGGGGAAAAATCGTTTTTGATTGACTTCATGATATCACAAGAGATGGAAGTCAATGGTCAGTGTTTGGATTGGTAATGGCAATTGTGATGGTGTCATATGATAAAATCTCTCAAATCAGTTTCAATTAACTTGAGGAAGTCCAAGATCATCCCTACTACTAAATATTTCTCCATCAGAATTCCTCCGTCCTATTTGCTCTTGTAGATCAGGATACTCACTCGTCTTCAATGGCGATCTTTCGGTTACTACTTTAGCTTGTATACAAGGGGCCGGACCCGTGATACATACATGTATTTGGATATTCCTAAAGAGTAAGACACTAACCAACAACGTTTAACTTCTAAATTCAAAGAAGTTGTTGAAATTATTTTGATCATACTTGACCTCGATACCACTGAAAACATGCAAAGGTCAGGTTTATTGGGAAACGTCATAGCTCTGATTCATGGTACCTACTGCATACAGTTTATATAATCAGCTGACTGAGACATTTGACTGGTGACTAAATAGGATGTTTTATCATACAGTTTATATAATCAGCCGACTGAGACATTTGACTGGTGACTAAATAGGATGTTTTATCATACAGGTTATATAATCAGCTGACTGATACATTTGACTGGTGACTAAAGAGGATGTTTTATCTTACAGTTTATATAATCAGCTGACTGAGACATTTGCCTGGTGACTAAAGAGGATGTTTTATCATACAGTTTATATAGTCAGCTGACTGAAACATTTGACTGGTGACTAAAGAGGATGTTTTATCTTACAGTTTATATAATCAGCTGACTGAGACATTTGCCTGGTGACTAAAGAGGATGTTTTATCATACAGTTTATATAGTCAGCTGACTGAGACATTCGACTGGTGACTAAAGAGGATGTTTTATCATACAGTTTTTATAATCAGCTGACTGAAACATTTGACTGGTGACTAAAGAGGATGTTTTATCATACAGTTTATATAGTCAGCTGACTGAGACATTTGACTGGTGACTAAAGAGGATGTTTTAACATCCAGTTTATATAGTCAGCTGACTGAGACATTTGACTGGTGACTAAAGAGGATGTTTTATCATACAGTTTATATAATCAGCTGACAGACATTTGACTGGTGACTAAAGAGGATGTTTTATCATACAATTTATATAATCAACTGACTGAGACATGACAGAACAATGTAGGGGAGTATTAGATTATTTTATTTTTAGATTAACTAAAATTAACAAATTTAAGTAATAACATAAATCTATTGCATGCAACAAGAAACTAAACTGTAAAATGGACAAAATTAATAAACATGTCTTACATAGAATGTCATGGCAACAATATCTGTATACTATAAGCTAAAGCGATAATATATGTTAGGACATGTAAATATGATAATGAGTATAAGCACTACTGGGCCTGTTTCCCTAACCGTAACACCGAGCTGACCCCGGCTAACGTGCAGCGCCATTGTTAACCGAGTCCTCGCCACAAGTCAACGTGTTGTGTCTTCCGTGTGTCGACACGCACGTATGGCGATACACCTCTGTTTACATTTGATATAGTCATATCACAGTTTTATATCACAGCGAAGTCCACTTATTTGAGGCATAAACTCCACACAAGTCATGTCCTTCCGTTCCCGCATACGCATGCGTACATTGACTATTTCCGGTTGAATAATAATCTACTCTCTTCCTTTACTACACTAAACAGAATCAGGATTACATAAACTATAACATTGATAGTACTTCTCATCTCCTTCTCCAGCAGCACCAACAATTCAATTTCGGCCTACACCACAAATCTTTGTTAAATTCACCAATCACATTTTAAAGTGACTTCCGGTGAAAGACTCCCTGTAATTAAGAAGTCCAGATGTTTTAAGTTATTCCCATTTTACAACCTCGTTATTTCCAGTGATGTTTCGTTGGCATGACATTTCGCACTGTAGTGTAGTGACAACTTTATTGATGTCAACATGCGAAGTTTACTAAGGTCCCTCTAAATCTTAGCAATCGTACTTTAGAAATTTGAACATCACATACACTTTTAACTCGCGATGAGAAGTGTAGTATAGTTCGAATGTCGCATACCAAAGCTACATCCCGACCCTCGGGTCTGTCTGTTGGGTAGGTATGCCGCAGGACCGGGATTTCTAGACTTGTCTCCTATGCTTCCGTATCGTGGTCGAATGCTGTAGGCCGGGGGTCGGGGGTTGTACACTTCTGACTTGGTGAGTCCGTAAGTTCCTGGCCCCGGTGCTTTGCCGTGATCTGCGGCCAATGCTCGTCTAGTGCCTAAACTGTGCATAGGGGCCTGTCTCTTACCGCTCTGTACGGTCTTACCGATACACCCGGGGACTTTATAAGTGTTAGGCGCGGGTGTCTGGCCGGTTTTCCTGCTCCGGTGACGACCACCAAAGCTGAAGGCATTTCTAGGGTTTGACTTTGACCCACCTGGGTTGTACGCCCCTGGGCCGGGACTGCCGTGTTTAGACTTAGAAGGATGACGTCCACTCATAGAATACTTCGGAGTCCCATCAATTCCCCTACGGGACAACTTTGCATTTGGGAAGTACTTACTTGGCCCCGGACTACGGTCCTTCTGGTTCCGTCCCACACGATGTCCAAATGTATGGGCGGGTTTCATCACATGAACGCTCCGTGGGTCATGGGATTTCTGTCCCACCAGGCCGGGTAATCCGTAAACGGGCCCGGGACTTGAGAAGGAAGCTGCTATGGGGGCACGAGGTCGGGTATGACGATACGCCATCTTTACAATGAGGTCTGTATCTCGTGTTGAAGAATCAGTACATCTCCACTAGTACTTGAGGTAAACACATGTATGGAATGTCCAGGTTTATAATATCCTTGGTTGCCGTTCAATCTCATGAACACAGTAGAGTACGTCCAACTTTACAGGTGTTTAGCACGGAAAGCACTCTTACCAACACTGTAAACACGGCGGGTCTCAATCAAAACAACAGTTGCTATTGATGTTCATCTGTGTTACGTGTACGAGTGACTACTAATATATTGTGTAAATTTATTCGTGTAGGCTGCATGTAGTGACTCGAAATACTGTCTCTTAACAGGAGTTGTTGTCATCCAATACCGGCCATTAAATGTCCCACCTATGTACATAGGTATGTCTTTTCATAGGTACTACACAGGTAGCCATGGTTCATTTCACATGTCAGCGAGCACACGTTTGAACTCTTATTGATATATAATGGACATTTAAACATTGACATTGTCGCGGAGGAATATACATCAGGATAACGAAGATAGCGTCGGTGTTGATAGCCGTGCGAAGACAGTGGTTATGGCCAATAACACCTGTTAAATGTTAATATGTGAAGAAACTAATGAGTTTTTGCTGAGACGTATACAGCTAATATAGGTCTCCGTTTTTTGTTAAAGACGTAAGCAGTTTGTGAGATCAAATGTGTCGTCAATCGCACAATATGTTGGGTCCAAATCTGGCATTACAATCGAATCAACTCATTGTCCTAGTTTACTGCGCAGAGTATCGTAGTAAGTCATTGTAGTAGGTATGCTTACTGTAACAATATATGGGATCGAATTGTTAAACAACTCGCGTGCTTATGTTGCTATGAAGACAGTGCAGAAACAGGAGTATCGGAAATATTTAGACGATATCTCAACAGACATTTTACCAAACATATGAAGGATATTTAAACTATTCCTGCGTAGGTAAATTACAGCTTCGCAATGGACATGTTCTGTTGAAAAGATGTCACTAAGTTATTAGCTGTTATTGAAATGATACCGTTGATTGGTATGAATACATTTTTTCATGATGAGGGAATAGTAACAGAAATAAAGGGAAACATTCCTTGAAATCAAGTTTGCAAATGTCTTTGATTGCAAATAGCAAAATACTCTAAATAATATTTCGGGCACATCACGTGAGTGAGTCGAAACTAATAGAAACACATATATAACGGGTTCTCAGGCATTGTCGTCAAACAGGGACCAAAATCGATATCTGTGATTAATCATGGAGCTTACCTTTTAGATTTTATTGATAAATGCTTGTACTAATGGTGATATATGCACAAACTCACATCGTAGGTAACATGGGTATGTGGGTAACCTGTCTGCGGATAACACACGGGTATGTGGGTACCCTGTCTGCGGGTAACAAACGAGTATGTGAGTAACCTGTCTGCGGGTAACACACGAGTATGTGGGTAACCTGTCTGCGGGTAATAAACGAGTATGTGGGCAACCTGTCTGCGGGTAACACCCGGGTGTGTGGGTTACCTGTCTGCGGGTAACAAACGAGTATGAGGGCAACCTGTCTGCGGGTAACACACGGGCATGTGGGTAACCTGCCTGCGGGTAACAAAGGAGTATGTGGGTAACCTGCCTGTGGGGAACCTGTCCGTGGGTAACATACGGGTATGTGGGTAACCTGTCTGCGGGTAACAAACGAGTATGTGGGCAACCTGTCTGCGGGTAACACACGGGTGTGTCGGTTACCTGTCTGCGGGTAACAAACGAGTATGTGGGCAACCTGTCTGCGGGTAACACACGGGTATGTGGGTAACCTGCCTGCGGGTAACAAAGGAGTATGTGGGTAACCTGCCTGTGGGTAACCTGTCCGTGGGTAACATACGGGTATGTGGGCAACCTGTCCGTGGGTAACATATGGGTATGTGGGTAACCTGTCTGCGGGTAACATACGAGTATGTGGGTAACCTGTCCGTGGGTAACATACGGGTATGTGGATAACCTGTCTGCGGGTAACACACGGGTATGTGGGTTACCTGTCTGCAGGTAACAAACGAGTATGTGGGTAACCTGCCTGCAGGTAGCACACGGGTATGTGGGTAACCTGTCTGCGGGTTACACATGATTATGTGGGTAACCTGTCTGCGGGTAACACACGGGTACGTGGGTAACCTGTCTGCGGGTAACAAACGAGTATGTGGGTAGCCTGTCTGTGGGTAACACAGGGGTATGTGGATAACCTGTCTGCGGGTAACACACGGGTACGTGGGTAACCTGTCTGCGGGTAACAAACGAGTATGTGGAAAACCTGTCTGCGGGTAACAAACGAGTATGTGAGTAACCTGTCTGCGGGTAACAAACGAGTATGTGGGTAACCTGTCTGCTGTTAACAAACGAGTATGTAGGTAACCTGTCTGCGGGTAACAAACGAGTATGTGGGTAACCTGCCTGCGGGTAACAAATGAGTATGTGGGTGACCTGCCTGCGGGTAACAAACGAGTATGTGGGTAACCTGTCTGCAGGTAACACACGGGTATGTGAGTAACCTGCCCTCGAGTAACAAACGAGTATGTGGGTAACCTGTCTGCGGGTAACAAACGAGTATGTAGGTAACCTGTCTGCGGGTAACACAAGAGTATGTGGGTAACCTGTCTGCGGGTAGCATACGGGTATGAGGATAACCTGTCTGCGGGTAACACACGGGTATGTGGGTAACCTGTCTGCAGGTAACAAACGAGTATGTGGGTAATCTGTCTGTAGGTAACAAACGAGTATGTGGGTAGCCTGTCTGCGGGTAACACAGGGGTATGTGGGTAACCTGTCTGCGGGTAACAAACGGGTATGTGGGTAACTTGTCCGTGGGTAACAAACGGGTATGTGGGTAACCTGTCTGCGGGTAACACAAGAGTATGTGGGTAATCTGTCTGTAGGTAACAAACGAGTATGTGGGTAGCCTGTCTGCGGGTAACACATGGGTATGTGGGTAACCTGTCTGCGGGTAACACACGGGTACGTGGGTTACCTGTCTGCGGGTAACAATCGAGTATGTGGGAAACCTGTCTGCGGGTAACAAACGAGTATGTGGGTTACCTGTCTGCGGATAACAAACGAGTATGTGGGTAACCTGTCTGCGGGTAACAAACGAGTATGTAGGTAACCTGTCTGCGGGTAACAAACGAGTATGTGGGAAACCTGCCTGCGGGTAACAAATGAGTATGTGGGTAACCTGCCTGCGGGTAACAAACGAGTATGTGGGTAACCTTGGGTAACCTGTCTGCGGGTAACAAACGAGTAAGTGGGAAACCTGTCTGCGGGTAACAAACGAGTAAGTGGGAAACCTGTCTGCGGGTAACAAACGAGTAAGTGGGAAACCTGTCTGCGGGTAACAAACGAGTATGGGGGTAACCTGTCTGCGGGTAACACAAGAGTATGTGGGTAACCTGTCTGCGGGTAACACAGGGGTACGTGGGTAACCTGTCTGCGGGAAACAAACGAGTAAGCGGGAAACCTGTCTGCGGGTAACAAACGAGTATGTGGGTAGCCTGTCTGCGGGTAACACATGGGTATGTGGGTAACCTGTCTGCGGGTAACACAGGGGTACGTGGGTAACCTGTCTGCGGGTAACAAACGAGTAAGTGGGAAACCTGTCTGCGGGTAACAAACGAGTATGTGGCAAACCTGTCTGCGGGTAACAAACGAGTATGTGGGTAACCTGTCTGCGGGTAACAAACGAGTATGTAGGTAACCTGTCTGCGGGTAACAAACGAGTATGTGGGTAACCTGCCTGCGGGTAACAATGAGTATGTGGGTAACCTGCCTGCGGGTACAAACGAGTATGTGGGTAATCTGTCTGCAGGTAACACACGGGTATGTGAGTAACCTGCCTTCGAGTAACAAACGAGCATGTGGGTAACCTGTCTGCGGGTTTACAAACGAGTATGTGGGTAATCTGTCTGCAGGTAACAAATGCGGGTAACAAACGAGTGTTGTAACCTGTCATACGGGTATGTGGGCAACCTGTCTGCGGGTAACACACGGTTATGTGAATAACCTGTCTGCAGGTAACAAACGAGTATGTGGGTAATCTGTCTGCAGGTAACAAACGAGTAAGCGGGTAACCTGCCTGCGGGTTACACAGGGGTATGTGGGTAACCTGTCTGCGGGTAGCACACGTGTACGTGGGTAACCTGTCTGCGGGTTTACAAACGAGTATGTGGGTAACCTGTCTGCGGGTAACAAACGAGTATGTGGGTAACCTGTCTGTGGGTAACAAACAAGTATGTGGGTAACCTGTCTGCGGGTAACAAACGAGTATGTGTGTAACCTGTCTGTGGGTAACAGAGTATGTGGGTACCCTGTCTGCGGGTAACAAACGTGTATGTGGGTAACCTGTCTGTGGGTAACAGAGTATGTGGGTACCCTGTCTGCGGGTAACAAACGTGTATGTGGGTAACCTGTCTGCGGGAAACAAACGAGTATGTGGGTACCCTGCCTGCGGGTAACACAGGGGTATGTGGGTAACCTGTCTGAGGGTAACACAAGAGTATGTGGGAAACCTGTCTGCGGGTAACATACGAGTATGTGGGTAACATGTACACGGGTAACACACGAGTATGTGGGTAGCCTGTCTGTGGGTAACTCAGGGGTATGTGGATAACCTGTCTGCGGGTAACAAACTGGTATGCGGGTAACCTGTCTGTGGGTAACAACCAAGTATGTGGGTAACCTGTCCGTGGGTAACATACGGGTATGTGGGAAACCTGTCTGCGGGTAACAAACTGGTATGCGGGTAACCTGTCTGCGGGTAGCACACGGGTACGTGGTTAACCTGTCTGCGGGTTTACAAACGATTATGTGGGTAACCTGTCTGCTGTTAACAAACGAGTATGTAGGTAACCTGTCTGCGGGGAACAAACGAGTATGTGGGGAACCTGTCCGTGGGTAACATACGGGTATGTGGGAAACCTGTCTGCGGGTAACATACGAGTATGTGGGTAACATGTACACGGGTAACACACGAGTATGTGGGTACCCTGTCTGCGGGTAACACACGTGTACGTGGGTAACCTGTCTGCGGGGAACAAACGAGTATGTGGGGAACCTGGCTGTGGGTAACAAACTAGTATGTGGGTAACCTGTCCGTGGGTAACATACGGGTATGTGGGAAACCTGTCTGCGGGTAACACACGGGTACGTGGGTAACCTGTCTGCGGGAAACAAACGAGTATGTGGGTAACCTGCCTGCGGGTAACACACGGGTATGTAGGTAACCTGTCTGCGGGTAACAAACGAGTATGTGGGTAACCTGTCTGCGGGTAACACAAGAGTATGTGGGTAACCTGTCTGCGGGTAACAAACGAGTATGTGAGTAACCTGCCTTCGAGTAACAAACGAGTATGTGGGTAATCTGCCTGCGGGTAACAAACGAGTATGTGGGTAACCTGTCCGGTGGTAACATACGGGTATGTGGGTAACCTGTCTGCGGGTAACACACGGTTATGTGGGTAACCTGTCTGCAGGTAACAAACGAGTATGCGGGTAACCTGCCTGCGGGTAACACAGGGGTATGTGGGTAACCTGTCTGTGGGTAGCACACGGGTACGTGGTTAACCTGTCTGCGGGTTTACAAACGAGTATGTGGGTAACCTGTCCGTGGGTAACATACGGGTATGTGGGAAACCTGTCTGCGGGTAACACACGGGTATGTGGGTAACCTGTCTGCGGGTAACATACGAGTATGTGGGTAACATGTACATGGGTAACACACGAGTATGTGGGTAACCTGTCTGCGGGTAACAAACGAGTATGTGGGTAACCTGCCCGTGGGTAACACACAAGTATGTGGGTAACCTGTCTGCGGGTAACATACGGGTTTGTGGGTAACCTGTATGCGAGTAACCTTTGCCGGTATCATACAATGTTTATAGATCAGCCCCAGTTTTTGTCATTATCTGTATATTATTGCCAGACTCCGATTAGAGCAAGCCAAGAAGACGATAAAACGTGTCCGCAGATTTGCGCGAAACCCCTTTTCTTGTCATAAGGCAAGTTTAGGAACCGTTCTCGGAGCATCCTCGAATTGTTGTCAAGACTATTTGTACTACAAAAAAGTGTGTTCGTAGGTTCCTTTCTCTCGTGATATAGGTCAGTAGTGAATTAAAGAATCTAGGAAACAAACATGTGTTGTTGAGTCCAAAACCTTTTACTAAACATCAAAATTAAATTTCTGTTCACTTTATATTTCAAAGTAATTCAATATCAGCTAGCATAACAACGGTCTTCCGGTGTAAGATAGTAAGACATTGCCAACATCCATAAACAATGTAAAAAATAAACACAATGAACTGTTATGTTTGACATTGAGCAATTTATTGTGAACAGAATAAAGAACTGGACACATAACTGAATTACATACATCTAAAAATCAAATAGAAATCAGCAATAAATAAGTACTCCACGTCACTTTCAGGCGTAACAAGATACCACATCGGTCAGACTGGACCGTCATAACTTGACCAATTAACACAACTCACCGTCCTTATAGATATACGGTAACGATCAGCATCCTGTTATAAGAAAGACTCGTAGTGAAGATCCTGGCATGTTTCAAACCAAAACTATTAAAAACATATAACAGTTGAAGTACCTACAGTCTCATTCTAAAGACAAGGCACTATATATAACACGTCATGAATTAAATGTTGATATCGAGTCCTTAGTTGTACAACGTGTGTTTCCTACGCGATTGTCCGTCATATGGTTTTTACGGATACTGATACTTGGTTTCATGGATTTTCCACGCGACATGAACTGATGACAAAGTACACAATATACATTCTGTGTAATAATATCACTACCAATGTCTTCAGAACAGTAGTCACTTGACGTCTACTCCGCCTCAACAATGAGGGGTGCAATGTAGGGGGAGTGGTGAATCCCAAAGCTGAAGTTTGGAGCTGCCCGCTTGTTGATCCTGACCACCTCAGGAGAGTGAGCCCCGGGGCCGGGTTTCTGTGTGCTATCCCCAGGCATGGCATTGCGTGCTGTCATACTGTATATTGGGGCCCTATTTTTGTACATACCGGGTTCGATAGTGTTGTAGGTCCCTGGACCGGGGGCCTTGGCTAAGTCCTCGCTAAAGTGTCCCCGGGTTTGTCGGGGCTTCATCGAGTAAATCGGTGCCTGCTTCGTGCCGCTTTGTATTGTCTTCCCCGTCATGGCTGGTAAGGAATAATTGTTTGGAGCAGGCACGTTATCTGTCCTCCGGTTCCGATGTCGGGTCCCGAAGCTGTACGAAGCAGCACGGAAGTGGGCGGTGGGTCCGACTTGTTCCGGGCTATACGCTCCTGGCCCAGGGACACTGAAGGTGGTGAGTTCCTTCTGGCGACCGTACACAGAGTACTGTGGGGTGCCGTCCTTGCCGTCACGGTAATACTTGGTGAGGAAATAACAGGGACCAGGACTGCAGTCATCCTTGAACTTTCCGTGACGAATACCAAAAGAATACGATGATCCTCTATGGTGGACACTCCGGGGGTCGTGATTCCGTCCACCAATGATCCCCGGGAGGGCGTAGCAGGGTCCCGGGCTACTGTACATGGCCGCTATAGGGGCCCGAGGCTTTGTATAATTGTACACCATTTTATAAGCGTTCTTGCTCCGACACTATTGCAATTGTTCACTCCAATTCACAGATCTATTTCCTCATGTAAAGAAACACTAATTTCAGTTCATGCTTTTAAGGTATTTTGTCCAAATCATACAACGTTTTCTTTTCTCTATATTTTGTAACTTTCTTCCTGTGAAATCTGAGTGTAGACTGTGTCCGCTCCCCTATATGTCACCGTGTGTTTAAACCATACTGTCTGATGTTTGGCAGTCAAAGCCGTATCCTAGGTAAAGAACACACTAGACCGCTCCACACTTGGAAAGTTCGATATATACATGGACTCCATACATTATTAATCGCCAACCTTTAGCAGCTTGACAAATGAATGTTGGCGCGGTGCCTTACCAATTTCTATAGTCAGTCTATCAACCATTCTGTACTTTTCGATACAGTGGAGTTTTTATCAGGTATTTGGTTAGGCCAAATTCAAAAGAAGTGTCTGCGCATGACTTATCGATAAAATTGTATTTGGTATTATATTTTTCTATGGCTATCAAAGTGTGAGATCTGAAGATTGTCAAAGAGCTAAAGACACAAGAAATGTCCTGTGGGCGAGCTCGTAAGCATATCGGATTGTTTGAGAATAGCCATCCGTCCATACAGTTGTCAATCCATAACACGGTGACCAGCAAGTCACGGAAACAGGTAATAGCTATATACATGAACATGTGAGCGAGACAAAACCTCCACCCGACCCCACCCATAGCTACAAAAGCCGTCCGACAACACAGGTGTCGCAGTCCGCCAATACAAGTTTCTCTGTTATACATTTAAACATGTTCGTCATTGTGTCCGTTTCAAGTCTTAACATATTATAAACAGACGCATTGTCCCAATGTTATTGCCTTTTTCATATGTGTAATGACTAAAACCACATGATTTACAACCTAATCAATAATGAACGTATTAAATATATGATATATACAACTGTAATTGGTATAGTACGAACTACACACATTGAGTCAAGTCAACTGATGTACCTTAGGGGAAACGGCTTTTGTCACGTACTTAAAAAGTAGCATCACGAACTTCAAAGGGTTAGCTGAAAAAACAACATTTTTCTCCTAAGAATTTCAACACAATTTAGAGAAAAAAATGTACAAGATTAACCGTTCGGAGATTCACAATACGCTCAATCCGGATTTGTATATCACTGAATTTCAAAACAATACAGGAGAAAAAATTAAACGCATCAAATCAAGCAATATCTTTATATCGTACTAAAAGATCATTTTTTTGATAAGTAGACAGAAGCGTGCTGAACACGTGGAAATTATGGAGTTGGGTGTAGGGGATACTTGAGACCAATCTTAAAATAATGGTACACACAATTCATAGATATTATGAACCAGTGTCCTTGTATTGAGCGTGTGATTATTGAACTAAAATATAATATTACGGGACAATATCACGGGTATATCATATACACGTACGTAACACGATAGGTAGACCAACAAATTGTATCGGTTTGGTCATATTAATGACGTAGATAGGATATTTTCATTCATGATCACCGCGAAGTCAGTCTGGTACAGAATATGATCTACAGTTATACAGCAGAGGTAATGAGTGGTGGGGAGGGGTATCGGATATCATACAGGCTCGATTCTAATTAGTCCGGGTAGATTATGGATTTCCTGTAGTCCGAAATAACTATCTCCTTTTATATTTTATTTTATAAGTAAGGAAAAGTAAGCCGAACCATTTGTGATATTTTAGGGCAGGGAGAGAAAGTTTTGGATTATCGAGGATGCTTGCATATCAAACCGGTAATTCCAGTTGAAAAGATATGGAAGATATGCCCTGAACGAACTTTTGGGGACGGACGGAGTACAAACCTATACCCCCTCCCCTCCCCGGGACGGACGGAGTACCAACCTATACCCCCTTCCCCGCGACGGACGGAGTACAAACCTATACCCCCTCCCCGGGACGGAGCACAAACCTATACCCCCCTCCCCGGGATGGACGGAGTACAAACCTATACCCCCCTCCCCGGGACGGACGGAGTACAAACCTTTACCCCCTCCCATCCCCTGGACGGACGGAGTACAAACCTATACCCCCTCCCCGGGGGACGGAGTACAAACCTATACCCCCCTCCCAGAACGGACGGAGTACAAACCTATACCCCCTCCCCGGGACAGACGGAGTACAAACCTATACCCCCTCCCTGGGACGGACGGAGTACAAACCTATACCCCCGTCCCCTCCCCTGTAAGCTGAGGGGGACTAATGACATTAAATCCGGTGCAGAAACTTTATTTATTTTATATTTCTTTGTTCAGTATATTTCGAATTCTTATGAAAAAGGGGGAAATGTTGGGGGAATATCAGGTTACTGAGTAATGAGAGTAATGCTTATTTCCCCTACAAACTAAATGGTTTGAAACAAAATTCTAGAAATCATCTTATAGGTCTTTTTGTGGTGTTTGCGTTAGCGCTATGATTTTCATATTTCTTTCTTTTGATAATGTCTGTTTTTGGTGATTTTTGTGAAATATTACATGATTTGTTTAAACTATAGCAGATGTTTGAATGCTTTTAAAACTACCATTGGTTTTGGATTTTGTGTTTTAAGATCAGTATTTCTCATTTAACTGTACGGACACTCACTCGGTTGTCGAGCTGACGGAAAACAGAAATACAATAGAACCATGACAGATATTAATGTGGTAGTATTTAAGTTACATGTGGGGGAAACTTTACCTGAAATGGTGAAATAACGCCAAAATTAGAGACGGGAATTGGCCCATAATCGGCCTTAAAAAGGCATGTATATTGAATATCTGCAACAAATCATTGCATTTGGTGTAAAATATTGCGGAAACACAACTACGCGTATCGGGGATTATCCGGAGAAGATGTTTCAATAGCATGTGATTTTCACAAGATCCTGAATAGTTTATGATCCCAGGTAAACTATCTATGAGAAATCACTTTTGCGCTTGTCCAGTAATAGACGTATATATATATATATATGCCTGCCGGACTGTCCAGTAAATCAATATACACCTTAGGTTAACATAGCCGTATATATATATACTACTGGTTTTATATGCCTACACCTTAGGTTAACATAGACGTATATATATACTACTGGTTTTAAATGCCTGCCGGACTGTCCAGTAAATCAATCTACACCTTAGGTTAACATAGACGTACAGGTACGAGTACACAATACACGGGTGGACAGACTAATAAGTAAAGTAAATTCATTCAATATCAACAAATCCATTGAGATCAATGAAGTTGCTTTGTGTTATATTTTCACGGCCCGGTATATATCAAGTCGTCATTCAGGTAGGGACGAGTTTCCCGTGTGTTGCCCTCGCCAACCTAGCCTGTTCTAAGTATATAAGCGCACTGCCCGCTTTCACCGAGCTAATCTCCTGACGTTGCTAGGAGCGTAACCAATCAAAGGAGAGATTTCCCATTTGCCAGAGCGACGGTTGTATAAAAGCAAACGAGAGGCTGTACCATGTATCGGAGGTACCTCGACCAGCTAAACACACAAACTGCTCAGCTCATCTCGGAACAGCAGCAAATCACACAAAAAACGAAAATGGCAGAGGTAGAATTCAAGAAAGTTCCCGTCGCTGACTTATGGGAAAAACTGTCCAAAGCTGAAGGTTGTAAATCTTTATTGAAAAAGCATCTAACTAAGGAGAGGTATGATGCTCTGAAGGATTTAAAAACGAGCATCGGCGGTGACCTTGGGGATTGTATCCAGTCAGGTGAGGAACGTGCATTACGTGCGCGCGTGTGAGTGCGGTGTTTTACAAATTTGGAATTATGGTGTGGTGTTAGCATTGCACAAGGACTGGTATAAGCGTACCGTCCTTTTATAGGAAAATAACCAGGACTTTATAGTTTTCCAAAGAATTGTGTTGGTTTATATTTTAGAAATTAAATGCAAGTGTAAATTATAGAAAAAAATATCGATTGTATTTCTTTGAAGACAACGGACGGATTAGTTTGTTACGTTGATTTTCAAGTGTGTGGAATTTACTTATTGGATGTTATTTTCTTAACAATGGTAACTGCATGAGGATGTTTCATATTTTTAGTCTTTTCCTCTTACAAGCCTGTTAGAGTTATTCCCCTTAGATATGTGAAAAGGTTTCAAAATATGATAAAAGCTGAGTATCAATTCAATGATTTAACATATATATTCTATGTCTGTATACAGTAAAATGTGACATGATGTTCTCGAAAGCCTGGGCCCTAATTTTGAATTAAAGTACATTTTATTTGATATAATTGTAGTAAAATCTAGTTTATTTATTGTGTGATACTGTCGAGTTGGCTTCAGTTCTGAAGATAGCTTGGGTTGGCAATCAACCTTCATATGAGGCATTGTCTCTCCTGCAGGTTAGAATTCCCTCCACTTTTTAAGACTGTCTCATATTTGCAAGATTCCTTTGAATATTATGGTTGAATGCTCTTGGGTTTTCATTTTCCTAAATAGAAATGGAATATTGGATTTCACCTTTTGATTTGGTAGAAACATTTTGATGACATTTTGACTGAAAGTTTTTCGTGTGTCAACATTTTAGTAGTTTCTGATCCATCAGAAATTGATGGATTCAAATATAATTTGGAATGCATGTGACGTCTGTACCAAGAATTCCGAAGTTAGTGTTTATAATGAAGTCCTGGTATTATTAGCTGCATTGTGGCTTTGTCTGTCCATCAATTCTTTTATTGAATGACATCTCCCAAACTACGAGCAGAATTGAACAATTTTTTGGTGGTAGCATCCTTAGGTAATTTGGATCCAATGTTGCACAAAGAGACTGATCGACCCGAGGGTCAAAAGGGTCAAATAGGCTGATTAGCTTTAAATAAAAAAAATATCATCTTTCCAAAATATTTGGCCGATTTCAACCAAACTGAGAGTGCTTGGGTGATGCAATGGATAGCACACTCCCTGTTCATCTAGATGGCTGGGATTTGATTCCCCAATCAATGTAAATGTATGGGGTCACAGGTCCTATTACATAGGTGTTCTCGGGTACTCGGGTTTCCTCCCACATTCTACTATCGGTGACCTCTCCTCCAAATCTACTGGGCTGATTCCAGCCAAATTAATGGGTGATTGAAATAAGTGTCTATATAAAGCTTTATGGAAAAAAACTAGTTTCATTGATAGGCCTTCTGCGTCTGTTAAACATTTAATGAAGGCCAATGAGATTTGCAGAAAATATTTTCTAAATTTATGATCATATTATGTTGTAATTGATTACTGAACATTTCTGATAACATTTTTGAAGTCATCTGAGACAGTCTTGAGTGACTATTGCAATTGTCTTTTGTCATCATCCATTCGTAATCAAATTATTTTCCCTTTCCAAAAGCATCAGTCGCCAGGTACTGGCCACAGGTCGAGTCGTGTGTTCATTGTTTACGTGGGACATTCGGCATCAGTCGCCAGGTACAGGTCGGTGTCTTTTCCCTCTAGACGAGGTAGTCCAGTTTTTCACCACCATCAAAATCTGGCTAATCCTTTAATGGCCATAACTGTTACCAGGATGTTAACACAAACCAATTCACTCTGAAATGTTGGAATGAAGCACTTGTATGGCGATAAAGGCCTTAGGTGATTCATCAAAAATGTTAAGTTCATTACCTCTTGGTGACACTGCTCACTGTACTTTATATAGGGAAATAACACTTATATAGATATTTTATTTTTGGTAGAAAATAATTCAAGCTGTGTTGAAATGATAAACATGAGATGGTAGCTATAGCTATAGTTTGATGGTATAAATCGGGACTCGGGACACCATTCGCTGGGTTCTGGGTGCAGGGTCCTAACGGTGAAAATATAAGAGAAATGCGACTGATTTTTGTCTAAGGTACGAAATAATTCAAACTTAAATTATTATGATGGTATGAGAATTTAATAGTAAGAAAATCGAGACCCTGTCAAAACACGGTGTGATATGTCGAGGTGACGAATGTGTCGGATCGGCAAACATGACCTTGAATAAAATTACATTCTTTAACATGTTGTTGATTGTGAACACAAATAATTACGCTAGTCTGCTGCAAGTAGCTCGCTTTCTCTCTTATAATAAAGGCTCCCAAACTTCGCCTATTATTATTATTCTTTCTTCTTCTTCCGCTTTCCAAAGATAGCCAATGTCACCTGTAGATCCCATTTTACGTTTTATAGATATTTTTCAATGCATTCCAAATTTGGCATGTAGGTGTATGATGGTACTGCGAACTCAACCATGCCATCCGTTTTCTAATTAGACAAAATGGCTGCCATATACTGGTTACTGATTGGTCAAAACTCTGTTATTGTTCAATTTCGTTCAAATTTAGTATGTATATGATAACAGTAATACAAAAAAATTACCTATAATATGCTTAGAAAATAGACAGGAGTGCAACGGCAAACTTACCCCTCTTAGTTTTCAACTTAGTTTTCTCGCACAAACTGAAAAATTCCACAGAAACCCAAAGTCCTATGCAGTCTGATGACTACTTATGTACATACACTACAGATCGTTTTGTGGAAATTTGTAATCTTTTAGATATACAAGTACCACATGTAAAAAATGTTATTGGGAAAAGGCTTAATAAAAGTTTGATAACTTGTGCCTAATCCCCTTGTATATATATATTATTTAACTTGTATACATGTGTGTATATGATGATTGGGATTTAAAAAGTTTCTAAGGTCAAGGCCATCATTACTAAAAATAGTAACAGTGACCAAGCACTAGTGGTCGGATGGTGCAGTGGATAGCGCACTTGCCTTTCACCAAGGCGGCCAGAGTTACATTCCCTGATCGGATGTGAAAACGTTTGGGTCACCTGCCCGACCACGTGGGTTTTCTCCAGGTTTTCTCCAGGTACTCTGGTTTCTACCCACACTAAGACCCCCCCACTCGCTAACATCTGGGCCAACAAGAGTGATTAATATAAGTTGAAATAACTTGTTTCATAATTGTTGTAAAATAAATAAAGTTTATATATTGTTACTAAGAATAGACTATGAGGGGAACAATTTTTATCTCGGAATCCAAAAGACTGATCTTATTTAAAGTTGACATGGTGATACACAATGTACAGGTACACTGATGTGTAGCTGTGTAATAGGACTTTAAAAAGAGTTTTTTGAAGGTCAAGGTTACTGCGCATGCTATCAAAATAGACCAGGGAGTTCTAGTACTGTCGGGCATGTGGCAGGCCCTTTCTAAACCTGTCGGTGTTCTGGTTTGTTAAAGAACCTACAGTTGCCTTATTTGCGTAACATATCTATTCTAGTTGCATAACCTAACTATATATCTTTCTTTGTATGCATGACTATTTTGAAATGACATCGCTACAGCAAACAACTATTTACAACTAAGGTGACTGTCATGTCCAGCGTGCTTGTTACTGTTTTGCTTTCAGGTAGGATTATTTAAATTTGATTGCTCAATTTAAATTATTTTTTGATTTACAGGAAGTATTTTTTTTTTTAAATCTCCCGCTTTCAGCGAAACAGGGGATATTAATATGGGTCTGTCCGTCTGTCTATCATGCTTCGTTTCCGTGCAATAACTACAACAATTATTAACCAATTTTCTTCAAACTTGGTCACAGGGTTAAATGCCTTAAGGGCATGGCCAAGTTCGATAATGAAAAACGTAATTATCTGCTGGGTTTTGTTTCTGTGCAATAACTGTAACTAATGTTAACCGATTTTCTACACAAACTTGGTTCGGTTTTGATGAAAATTGGTATATAGGGATATTGGGGAATTGCGAATTCAACCGCATTGGTTTCGTTGCCATAGCAACCACACAGAGACTTCTGATTGGTCGAAATTTAGATATTGTTAAATTTTGATGAAAATTTGTATATAGGGACATTAGGGGACTGCAAATAAAACAGCATTAGTTTCTTTACCATAGCAACCACACGGAGGCTTCTGATTGGTCGAAATTTAGATATTGTTCGATTTTGAAGAAAATTGGTATATAGGGATATTGAGGGACTGCTAATTTAACCGCATAGGTTTTGTTACCATAGCAACCACACGGAGGGTTCTAATTAGTCGCAATTTAAATATTGTTTGAATTCGATGAAATTTGGTATATAGGGGTATTAGGGGACTGCACATTCAATCACATACGTTCTGTTGCCATAGCAACAACACAGAGGATTCTGATTGGCTGCAATTAAGAAATTGCTCAATTTCACTCAAATTTAGTTGGTACTTTGTAGGTGTACTATGGCAATGCGGTCCTTTTCTGATGCATCTTTGCGACTATGGGTGCAGTCTGGGGTACATCTGTAATGGCCAATCGATGTGATTTGTGCATATTTTCAGATAATCAATGAGGTATAGGGCTTTTTTTTTCTTCAAGTTTCAAGCTATACATTATGTCTCAACAGCACGATACTCACATGTTTAAACCTAACCTCAATAATGTTAACCTACAATATGTCCTGCAAGCGGGGGGATATAAATTCCACGAATTTGCTTGTTTTAAAGTTTTTAAGCAACCCCATTTGACAATGTTTAATTTTGAACAGTTTTATCGTAGTACAAAAAATTTCAAATTATGTTTAACCAGGATGCAACAACTTGGACAGTGGCGTCGGTATCTATGCTTGCGACCCCGAGGGTTACGATACTTTTGCCCCAGTCCTCGATGCAGTCATTATGGATTACCATAAAGTTGCTAAAGTGGAGCACCCTGAACCATTTTTTGGAGATATGTCTAAACTTGACTTGGGAAATCTTGATCCTGAGGGTAATATGATCGTCAGTACCCGTGTACGTGTGGGTAGGAGTCATGCAGGGTTTCCATTTCCTCCATCTGCCACAAAGCAAGTAAGTCATAAAATATTGCAATGATAGATTCAAAAATGCAAATAAACCTGAATCTGTTCAATTTTCTCAATACTTAATGATTGGTGTCGGACATTCAGATTCCCCATGACTAGATACTAAATGATTGGTGTCGGACATTCAGATCCTCCATGTATAGATACTTAATGCGTGGTGTCGGACATTCAAATCCTCCGTGACTTGATACTTAGATTGGTGTCGGACATTCAGATTCCCCATGACTAGATACTAAATGATTGGTGTCGGACATTCAGATCCTCCATGACTAGATACTAAATGATAGGTGTCGGACATTTATATCCTCCGTGACTAGATACTAAATGATTGGTGTCAGACATTCATATCCTCGGTGACTAGATACTAATTGATTGGTGTGGGACATTCAAATCCTCCATGACTAGATACTAAATGATTGGTAGATCCTCCATGACTAGATACTAAATGATAGGTGTCTGACATTCATATCCTCCATGACAAGATACTAAATGATTGGTGTCTGAGATTCAGATCCTCCATGACTAGATACTAAATGATAGGTGTCGGACATTCAGATCCTCCATGACTAGATTCTAAATGATAGGTGTCGGACATTTATATCCTCCGTGACTAGATACTAAATGATTGGTGTCTGACATTCAGATCCTCGATGACTAGATACTAAATGATTAGTGTTGGACATTCTTATCCTCCATGACTAGATACTAAATGATTGGTAGATCCTCCATGACTAGATACTAAATGATAGGTGTCTGACATTCATATCCTCCATGACAAGATACTAAATGATTGGTGTCGGACAATCATATCCTCCATGACTAGATACTAAATGATAGGGGTCGGACATTCAGATCCTCCATGACTAGATACTAAATAATTGGTGTCAGACATTCAGATCCTCCATGACTAGATGCTAAATGATTAGTGTCGGACATTTATATCCTCCGTGACTAGATACTAAATGATTGGTGTCGAACATTCAGATCCTCCATGACTAGATACTAATTGATTGGTTTGGGACATTCAGATCCTCCATGACTAGATACTAAATAATTGGTGTCAGACATTCAGATCCTCCATGACTCGATACTAAATGATTGGTGTCAGACATTCATATCCTCGGTGACTAGATACTAATTGATTGGTGTGGGACATTCAGATCCTCAATGACTAGATACTAAATGATAAGTGTCGGACATTTATATCCTCCGTGACTAGATACTAAATGATTGGTGTCGGACATTTATATCCTCCATGACTAGATACTTAATGATTGGTGTCGAATATTCAGATCCTCCATGACTAGATACTAAATGATTGTTTTCGACATTCAGATCCTCCATGACTAGATACTTAATGATTGGTGTCGAATATTCAGATCCTCCATGACTAGATACTAAATGATTTGTGTCGACTTTCAGATCCTCCGTGACTAGATACTAAATGATTGGTGTCAGACATTCATATCCTCGGTGACTAGATACTAATTGATTGGTGTGGGACATTCAGATCCTCAATGACTAGATACTAAATGATAAGTGTCGGACATTCTTATCCTCCATGACTAGATACTAAATGATTGGTAGATCCTCCATGACTAGATACTAAATGATAGGTGTCTGACATTCATATCCTCCATGACAAGATACTAAATGATTGGTGTCTGAGATTCAGATCCTCCATGACTAGATACTTAATGATTGGTGTCGAATATTCAGATCCTCCATGACTAGATACTAAATGATAAGTGTCGGACATTCTTATCCTCCATGACTAGATACTAAATGATTGGTGTCTGACATTCAGATCCTCCATGACTAGATACTAAATGATTAGTGTTGGACATTCTTATCCTCCATGACTAGATACTAAATGATTGGTGTCGGACATTCAGATCCTCCATGTATAGATACTTAATGCGTGGTGTCGGACATTCAAATCCTCCGTGACTTGATACTTAATGATTAGTGTCGAATATTCAGATCCTCCATGACTAGATACTAAATGATTGGTGTCTGACATTCAGATCCTCCATGACTAGATACTAAATGATTAGTGTTGGACATTCTTATCCTCCATGACTAGATACTAAATGATTGGTGTCGGACATTCAGATCCTCCATGTATAGATACTTANAAGATACTAAATGATTGGTGTTGGACATTCAGATCCTCCATGACTAGATACTTAATGATTGGTGTCGGACATTCAGATCCTCCATGACTAGATACTAAATGATTGGTGTCAGACATTCATATCCTCCATGACTAGATACTAAATGATTGGTGTCGACTTTCAGATCCTCCGTGACTAGATACTAAATGATAAGTGTCGGACATTCAGATCCTCCATGACTAGATACTAAATGATAAGTGTCGGACATTCAGATCCTCCATGACTAGATACTAAATGATAAGTGTCGGACATTTATATCCTCCGTGACTAGATACTAAATGATTGGTGTCAGACATTCAGATCCTCCATGACAAGATACTAATTGATTGGTGTCAGACATTCAGATCCTCCATGACTAGATACTAAAAGATTGCTGTCAGACATTCATATCCTCCATGACAAGATACTAATTGAGTGGTGTCAGACATTCAGATCCTCCATGACAAGATACTAATTGATTGATTGGTGTCGAACATTCAGATCCTCCATGACTAGATCCTAAATGATTCGTGTCAGACATTCATAGCTTCCATGACTAGATACTAAATGATGGGTGTCGACATTCAGATCCTCTACTGCTAGATACTAAATTATTGGTGTTGGACATTGAGATCTTCATGACTAGATACTAAATGATTGGCGTCAGACATTTATATCCTCCGTTACTAGATACTAAATGATTGGTGTTTGACATTTAGATCCTCCATGACTATATATAGCTAGATACTAAAGGATTTGTTTCGGACATTCAGACCCTCTATGGCTAGGTACTAGATGATTTGTGTCGGACTTTCATATCCTTCACGACTAGATATATACTTAATGATTGGTGTCGGACATTCAGAGCCTCCATGACTAGATACTAAATGATGGGTGTCGACATTCAGATCCTCTACTGCTAGATACTAAATTATTGGTGTTGGACATTGAGATCTTCATGACTAGATACTAAATGATTGGTGTCAGCCATTCATATCCTCTGTGACTAGATACTAAATGATTGGTGTCTGACATTCAGATCCTCCATGACTACATACTAAATGATTGGTGTCGAACATTTAAATCCTCCATGACTAGATACTAAAAGATTGCTGTCAGACATTCATATCCCCCATGACTAGATACTAAATGATTGGCGTCAGACATTTATATCCTCCGTTACTAGATACTAAATGATTGGTGTTTGACATTTAGATCCTCCATGACTATATATAGCTAGATACTAAAGGATTTGTTTCTGACATTCAGACCCTCTATGGCTAGGTACTAGATGATTTGTGTCGGACTTTCATATCCTTCACGACTAGATATATACTTAATGATTGGTGTCGGACATTCATATCCTCTGTGACTAGATACTAAATGATTGGTGTCTGACATTCAGATCTTCCATGACTAGATATTTATTGATTGGTGTTGGACAATCATAGCCTCCGTGACTAGATACTTAATGATTGGTGTCAGACATTCATATCCTCTGTGACTAGATACTAAATGATTGGTGTCAGACATTCAAGATCCTCCGTGACTAGATACTAAATGATTTGTGTCAGACATTCAGATCCTCCATGACTAGATACTAATTGATTGGTGTCGGACATTCAGATCTTCCATGACTAGATATTTATTGATTGGTGTCGGGACATTCATATCCGTGACTAGATACTTAATGATTGGTTTCGGACATTCATATCCTCTGTGACAAGATACTAAATGATTGGTGTCAGCCATTCATATCCTCTGTGACTAGATACTAAATGATTGGTATCGACTTTCAGATCCTCCGTGACTAGATTCTAAATGATTGGTGTCAGACATTCAGATCCTCCATGACTACATACTAAATGATTGGTGTCGAACATTTAAATCCTCCATGACTAGATACTAAATAATTTGTTTCTGACATTCAGATCTTCCGTGACTAGATACTAAATGATAGGTATCCAACATTTATATCCTCCATGACTAGATACTAAAGGATGGTTGTCGTACAATCATATCCTCCATGACTAGATACTCAATGATTGGTGTCAGACATTCAGATCCTCCATGACAAGATACTAATTGAGTGGTGTCAGACATTCAGATCCTCCATGACAAGATACTAATTGATTGATTGGTGTCGAACATTCAGATCTTCCATGACTAGATATTTATTGATTGGTGTTGGACAATCATAGCCTCCGTGACTAGATACTTAATGATGGGTGTCGGACATTCATATCCTCTGTGACAAGATACTAAATGATTGGTATCGACTTTCAGATCCTCCGTGACTAGATTCTAAATGATTGGTGTCAGACATTCAGATCCTCCATGACAAGATACTAAATGATTGGTGTCAGACATTTATACCCTCCATGACTAGATACTAAATGATGGGTGTCGACATTCAGATCCTCTACTGCTAGATACTAAATTATTGGTGTTGGACATTGAGATCTTCATGACTAGATACTAAATGATTGGTGTTTGACATTTAGATCCTCCATGACTATATATAGCTAGATACTAAAGGATTTGTTTCGGACATTCAGACCCTCTATGGCTAGGTACTAGATGATTTGTGTCGGACTTTCATATCCTTCACGACTAGATATATACTTAATGATTGGTGTCGGACATTCATATCCTTCGTGACTATATACTAAATGATTGGTGTCGGACATTCAAATCTATGGATTGGTATCCAACATTTATATCCTCCTTGACTAGATACTAAATGATTAGTATCGGACATTTATATCCTCCGTGACAAGATACTTAATGATTGGTATCGGACATTTATATCCTCCATGACTAGATACTAAATGATTGGTGTCGACATTCAGATCCTCTACGGCTAGATACTAAATTATTGGTGTTGGACATTCAGATCTTCATGACTAGATACTAAATGATTGGTGTCTGACATTCAGATCTTCCATGACTAGATATTTATTGATTGGTGTCGGGACATTCATATCCTCCATGACTAGATACTAAATGATTGGTGTCGGACATTCATATCCTCCATGACTAAAAACTAAATGATTGGTGTCGGACATTCAGATCTTCCATGACTAGATATTTATTGATTGGTGTCGGGACATTCATATCCTCCATGACTAGATACTAAATGATTGGTGTCAGACATTCAGATCCTCCGTGACTAGATACTAAATGATTGGTGTCGACATTCAGATCCTCCATGACTAGATCCTAAATGATTGGTGTCAGACATTCAGATCCTCCGTGACTAGATACTAAATGATTGGTGTCGACATTCAGATCCTCCATGACTAGATCCTAAATGATTGGTGTCAGACATTCAGATCCTCCATGACTAGATACTAAATGATTGGTGTCAGACATTCATATCCTCCATGACTAGATACTAAATGATTAGTGTTTGACATTTATATCCTCCGTTACTTGATACTTAATGCTTGGTGTCCGACATTATCAGCCATTAGTACATAATGTCAAAAAGGATTTAATGCCGAGATCAATGACACTAAGTTGTGCTTAGACCTTTAATAACAGACCAATATGTGGTTAAACTAATGATAATACAAACTAGCTTATGCTTAGACTGTTGATACTGATGGAGATTTCTCATTTTACAGCAAAGGGTGGATATGGAAAAGAAGACCGTTGCCGCTCTCGCAACTTTGGAAGGTGATCTGAAAGGCAAATATTTCTCCCTGGAAACCATGTCCAAGGAGGAAGAGGACCAACTCATTGCTGACCACTTCCTCTTCAAGAATGATGATAGGTCAGACATTTTATTCTTTGTTTAATAATAATTTTAGATTTCTGAAGGTCTTTGAAATAGCCAGGAAAGAAGAGGGGTGGGAGTGTGTGACTAGGAAAGGTGAGGCTAGGAAAGGGGGATAGTCAGGAAGTGGGGTTGGGTTGGCCTGGAAGGATAAGCACGGTAAAGGAGGAATAGTTGTACATAAGGCCAACTCATACTTTCAAAATACTAAATGAATCCCTTACCAGGTAAAGTGTAGATTGCTTCATGCTCCATTCTGGATTATAAATTGCGATTGGCTGCATACATTTGGTAAATTTGCTTGTGTAAACATCAAGGTCACAAGGTTCCAAAGGTCAGCTGTTGTTTTAGTCATGATTATGAGTCTAAAGAGAAATATAGGTTCCCCAACGAGTGGCGGTTAGTTATCATGTTTATCAAACCCCGAGTTGATGAATCTTCAAATTGTACAAAGACGCAAGATTTACAGAGTGTCTTTTACAATTTGAAAATTAACTAACAAGAGTTGGAAAAACGTGATAACTAATCACCACAAATTTGGGGACCTGTTTCTCCAATAATGTTCGTGTTTTATCTGAAAAACCACATTGTTCCCTTGGAAAATACATCATGCAAGTTTCCGATGGGGGGAAACAATTGCCATGGAGCATGACGTCACAATGGAAAATGATGACGAAAAGCAGTGTTACATAACGTCATAAGTCAAAGGTTGACCATTGAAATACATCCAGGGTGGGTAACCAAAAATGTTCACCAACTCTTTGGCAGGTTTATCCAATGAGTCGTGAGTGAAGAACCCTACAGTAGTTGTGGGAGAAATGTGTCTATTACATAGTTATTCTGTGGAAATGGTCTGTGGCTACTTTGATTTTAAGACTGTGTGGACATGACTGGTCTTTGTGGAAATGGTCTGGGGCTACTTTGATTTAAGACTGTATGGACATGACTGGTCTTTGTTGAAATGGTCTGTGGCTACTTTGATTTAAGACTGTATTGACATGACTGGTCTTTGTGGAAATGGTCTGTGGCTCCTTTGATTTAAGACTGTATGGGCATGACTGTTCTTTTTGGAAATGGTCTGTGGCTACTTTGATTTAAGCCTGTATGGTCATGACTGGTCTTTGTGGAAATGGTCTGTGGCTGCTTTGATTTTAAGACTGTATGGACATGACTGGTCTTTGTGGAAATGGGCTGTGGCTACTTTGATTTAAGACTGTATGGATATGACTGGTCGTTGTGGAAATGGTCTGTGGCTACTTTGATTTTAAGACTGTGTGGACATGACTGGTCTTTGTGGAAATGGTCTGGGGCTACTTTGATTTAAGACTGTATGGACATGACTGGTCTTTGTGGAAATGGTCTGTGGCTACTTTGATTTAAGACTGTTTGGGCATGACTGGAAGGTTGAGGGTTACTTGTTGTACACATAGGCGAAAATAATTTATAATTTTCAATGGATATATTTGAATAATATCACGAGTAAAATTGAATATATGTTAAATGAACACATGCAATAGAACATGAAACAAAGTTAGTGTTCACTGTGGTTCCTTATGTGGTCTGTAAATGTTTTAAATGGCGGCTGTTTGAAGCGAGGGATCGCAGTGCATTGATTAGAAAGGTTTTGGAAAGCTCTGAGTGACAAAGACTGTCATTGATCAAAACTATAAACAGTTCATATCCTATGGAATCAATGGTGCGATTCAGATTCAGAACCTGTGTTTACTTGTCTGCCCAAAAGTTGTAATAGCAGACATAACACTGTCAAAATCAAAAATACCGTGTTCGCACTGGTACCTCGACCGGCTAAACACACAAACTGCTCAGCTCATTTTTGAACAGCTGCAAATCGCACAAAAAGCAAAACATAATTTTTGTTAATACAAACATCTGTTGGTCAACGTTTGAATGTAGCATTTCAAAGGATGAAGCCTGGTGGTTCTGCAAATGTAAATGTAGATATTAGATGTCCAAGTCGGGCTGACCAGAGAACAACATCACAACACAAGGTGTCTATTGACTCTGTTCCCATATTTCATAAATGAAAAAAGGAATTTGTGCAGGAAATCAATCCCATCCTGTTTTAATAAGAGACCAATCAATGTGTCTGTCCATCTGCATTTTAGTTTCTGGGGATTTTCTCAGAATCCAGTAGTCCTAATTCTGTAACTGCATTAGGTGTGTAATAGCTATAGGAATTTAAATATTTTCCAAGGTCAACAAATGATTAAAAATAGAAATGGGGATATGCTGTCAAAATTACATTATGTTGCCCTTTTTGACCCATCAATGTTAATTTAGGTGATAAACTGATAAGTAATCTTGAGAGGGGAAATGATGGTTAACTGGGTTGTTGTGAAAACTCATAGACAAGGCTAGCTAAAAACATTGGGTCATAGGGGCCAGGAATCAAAAACTTCAATGATACTTAGCAGAAAATGTAGTTGTGACCCACAATTTGTGGGCAAGATGACAATATGCTACATAGCATTTGTGGACGTTAATTTTGTTTGATGTACTGTGGAGTCATGATGATACATGTAGTTTAAAAGCTGTTAGAGATGTTTATAAAGTGTAAAATAAACATTTCCACTTGGTTGAGAATGTAAGTTTTTATGAATTTTAACAAATCTTAAAAGAGGCATATCAGTATTCACAAAACCCCATTCAGACCATACTCCATTCACAAGCAGTTTTAACTTGTGACATTTGAAAAAAAACCTGTTGACATGAATTGCTGGTGTGAATGTCTAGGAGACAATATTTATCTTGTCAAGCCCAATGATATAATTAAAACAAAAGGCAGTAATCTTCAAATTTTGTTGGTCCTATCGACCTATCCTGTGTTGATTGGCCGTTAAGCATCTTATAATAATAATAATAATAGTCAACATCCATTGTAGCGTTGATATTGAACTGGAAAAGCTTGTCAAATGGAAGAAAAGAGTTGTTGTAGTTGTTTGGTTTTGTAGGTTTTTGAGGGACGCCGGAGGTTACAACCATTGGCCTGTTGGTCGTGGTATCTACTTCAGTAACGACAAGAAGTTCCTCACCTGGATTAACGAGGAGGACCATCTCCGCTTCATCTCCATGCAGATGGGTGGTGATCTTGGTGCTGTATACAAGAGACTTGTTTCAGTAAGGCTCACGGCTTCACATTAGTTCTTTCAACGTACAATGTATAAACAAGCAAAATGTCAATTCTTTGTAAAATTCTGATATAGATGGCATCAGCTACATTTAGATGTGACTTGTTTTATAAGAGTTATCTTCATGAAAGCTAAAGAATTGTTCTAATTCCTGTCCACTTTGAGATGAAAAAAAGAGTTAAACTTTCGGGTATCGTTACATTGATTTTACATCTACTTTCAAATTTGATATTAAATATTAAATACAAATTCATTTCAGGCCTTGGAGACACTTAGTAAGAAACTTGATTTTGCTCACAACAAGAAATGTGGCTTCGTTACCTTCTGTCCTACCAACCTTGGTACCACCTGCAGGGCTAGCGTCCACATTAAGGTCCCCAAGCTGGCTGCTGCTAAATCCACTAAAGGAAACAAATGCCTTCTGGATGACATCTGTGCTGAAAACAACTTGCAGCCCAGAGGTAAGGATTTAATATGTGGTGATAACTCCAGGTAAGGATTTAATATGTGGTGACTGTTAACTCGAGGTAAAGGTTGTAAACTGGATAAACTGGAGGTAAGGGTTGTAGACTGGATAAGCTCAAGGGATGGGTTGTAGACGGGATACACTCGAGGTAAGGGTTGTAGCCGGGATAAACTCAAGGGAAGGGTTGTAGACGGGATAAACTCAAGGTAAGGGTTGTAGACTGGATAAACTCAAAGTAAGGGTTGTAGATGGGATAAACCCATAGGTAAGGGTTGTAGACAGCATAAACTCGAGGTAAGGGTTGTAGACTGGATCAACTCAAAGTAAGGGTTGTAGATGGGATAAACCCATAGGTAAGGGTTGTAGACGGGATAAACTGGAGGTAAGGGTTGTAGACGGGATACACTCAAGGTAAGGGTTGTAGACTGGATAAACTCAAAGTAAGGGTTGTAGATGGGATAAACCCATAGGTAAGGGTTGTAGACGGGATAAACCCATAGGTAAGGGTTGTAGACGGGATAAACTCGAGGTAAGGGTTGTAGACTGGGTAAACCCATAGGTATGACTAGATTAACTTGTAGGAACAGTTATCACTAGATTAACTTGTAGGTAACAGTTATGACTAGATTAACTGGTAGGTAACGGTTATGACTAGATTAACTGGTAGGTAACGGTTATGACTAGGTTAACTTGTAGGTAACAGTTATGACTAGATTAACTGGTAGGTAACGGTTATGACTAGTAGGTAACAGTTATGACCAGTAGGTAACGGTTGGTTATGACTAGTAGGTAACGGTTATGACTAGTAGGTAACGGTTATGACTAGTAGGTAACGGTTATGACTAGTAGGTAACGGTTATGACTAGTAGGTAACGGTTATGACTAGTAGGTAACGGTTATGACTAGTAGGTAACGGTTATGACTAGTAGGTAACGGTTATGACTAGTAGGTAACGGTTATGACTAGTAGGTAACGGTTATGACTAGTAGGTAACGGTTATGACTAGTAGGTAACGGTTATGACTAGTAGGTAACGGTTATGACTAGATTAACTCAAAGGTAACGGTTATGACTAGTAGGTAACGGTTATGACTAGTAGGTAACGGTTATGACTAGATTAACTTGAAGGTAACGATTATGACTAGATTAACTGGTAGGAAACGATTATGACTAGATTACCTGGTAGGTAACTGTTATGACTAGATTGACTTGTAGTTAACGGTTATGACTAGTAGGTAACTAGTGATTGGATTTACCATATTAATTGCAGCCAGGTGTAATATAAATAATTTTGAACTTGTTTTGCTGCATAATGACAAAGTTTTACATTGATCTGATTTTTTACAGGTATCCACGGTGAGCACACAGAGAGTGTAGGAGGTGTTTACGACATCTCCAACAAGAGGAGACTGGGTCTTTCCGAGTACGATGCCATCATGGAAATGAAGAATGGAATTTTGAAAATAATGGCAGCTGAGAAAGCTTTATAGATTGAACTTTAATTTTGAAGAAAGAAAAAAAAAGGACCCAATATGATTATGTTAAAATGTTACGTGTGATCAAACCTCCCAGAAAATGGTTGAATTTTGAAAATGCCCTTGTCTAGATTGTTATGCCAGGAATGTGATGCTGCTGTTATAATATGACAAAAAGACAACAACGATTATACATAGAAACCGAAGATTTACCTCCGATGCCAATTTTTTGTATTAGCAAGCTAGATCTATAAGCTGAGTGGGTACAGCTGGTTCAGTAGACCATTTGTGGAGAGACCAGGGTGTATGACGGTCTAGACAAGGGAGAAAGGATTCAATGTTGATACCATTTTCCTATTCCTTTGTATATATATTTATAAACTGTTATCCTCTAGTGTGAAATCCTAACATGGGGTCAACTAGATCACTTTCTGGAGATCCAATTGGCAGGCTTCGGATGTACTCATCCATCCATAGGATCGGTGGACAGCCAATCAGATGTAACCTTCTTTGATTGTCATCAGACGCGCACATCTGATTGGTTGATGGCCATCCAATTCAATACATCTGATTGGTTGTAGCCATTGGATGCAGTTATCTGATTGGCTGATTGCCAGCGGATGCACCTTGTTGTTTAATGTATCTGAAGAGTAACTAAAGAGCTGTGTGCCAAAACGTGCTGTGAATAATGAATACAAAACGCCCGTAGTCATTTCTTGAATCGGACGTTCTTGAAGTCCAGACATATTCTACAGCTTCATTATCACGTAAACTTTCGATGTCTGGTCTCTATTATTGGAGTTATTTCCCTTGCCACATTGGTTAATGTACAGCAGTGGCTAGGTGGTAAAATATACAGGGATTGCCCTAAGTTGTTGATTGTTTTAGTTTTACATTAGAAAGTGTTCATCTGATTAGGGGTGTGACTGTGATACTGGTGTACACTGCCAGGACGTCTTATCTCACTTGTGAGGAGAGATTATCTTCATGGCTAGTCTTTAACTACTTTATGAGGTTCTGTATCATTAAACATGATTGTGATAATCAGTATTTTTTGTTTTCTTTTGCTATATTGATTTAATTCTACTTGTTCTTAGATTAAGAAATCTTTAATAGATTTCCTATTTTGCTTTGTCCCAATAATCTTAAGAAACATTTCTGAATAAGAAGGGTGTTGTTTTAAGCCTTTTTCATATTGTTGTGACTCCTGCAAGTGTTCTTGTGATTAAAAAGTTTTTTTGCAATTTAATTTCATAAATCTTGCAGAAAAGAATAAATCATTTTCAATGCAAAAAAAAACTATTTATGTATATATGTGATTTTTCCCAGCCAGCCTGCTGCTCATAATCTATTGCTGTGTTGACAATTTGTTACCTTATCCACTGAAAATACAGTAAGAAAACGACTTGTGGAAACAAAAACAAGGTATTTGAAATGTTACTCTTGAAATAAAACCTCTATATAGACACTCCTTGAAATGAATAAGAACATCATAGCACTCAAATTTGGTTCTTGGGAGGCCTACCAGTCTAAAAGGACTTGAAACATGAAGATATTGGGAGAAACAAATGTCTATAGGCTTTGTTTCCTGGTGGTTACCAGCAATACATATAGGTTACTCTCCAGCACAATTTTCCGTTTCAGCGAATCCACATTGACCATATATGCAACATTTGAGCTTCTATGCCTGGTCAAATCTGGGATCAAACGCACATGGAAACTTCGCATTCATGTAACCGTTAAAGCCCATGGGCCCCTTTTTCCCTATGCAACAAAACAGAATTGTGGTATCTCTGCTAAAAGTGTAATTAAAATATGCCTGACAATTTCGTTTTACGTAATTTGTTGAAGGAAACATTTTTTGAATACAGTTCAATACGGCATTCATCAAAAAGCTTGTTTTAACCCTCGGGGCAAGTGAGCTTATGCCGTACCGCGGCGTCTGGCGTCAATTTTTCCCTTTAAAAGCCTTTATCTCCTGAACGACTGATTGGATTTTAACTTTTGATATGAAGCATCCTTGGGACCAGGGGCTCAATGGATTTATGAAATAAGGGTGTGGCCCCCTAGGGGGTTTAGTTAGGGGCCAAAAAGGGGGAAATTTAGAAAGAAAAAAATCATAATGGGCCATATCTTCCATTGTTTTGAACAGAAGTTGTTCATATTTGACAGAAATACTTGTTAGGGGGAGGGGGTCTGCAGGTAAAAAAAATATGAGCCTGACCCCCTAAGGTGGCTGAGTTAGGGGCCGAAAAGGGGGGGGGGGATTTCAAAAATCTTCTCTTTTAGTTATACAAATGCTAGGATCAAATACTACCCATAGCTGTAATAGCATTTGGGTGGTTTATAAAATTTGTAATTTTTATGTCTCCCAGGGCCCCCGTTTGCCCTGGTGAGGGGGTGAAATGTAGTATGGTTTATATAGGAAATAGACATGACTGGCCATATCTTCCATTGTTTTGAAAATAATTTGTTCATATTAGAGAGAAATACTCATTAGGGGAGAAGGGTCTGCTGGTATAAATTGTGAGATTGGCCCCCTAGGGGGCTGAGTTAGGGTCTAAAAAAGGGGGGGGGGGATTTTAAAAATCTTCTTTAGTTATAAAAATTCTAGGATCAAATACTTCCCATAGCTGTAAAGGCATTTGGGTGGTTTATAAAATTTGTGATTTTCATGTCTACCAGGCTCCCCGTTTGCCCCTGGTGAGTGGGTGAAATGTACTGTAGTTTATATATGAAATAGACATAATAGGTCATATCTTCCAATGTTTTGAATGGAATTTGCTAATATTTGACAGAAATACTTGTTAGGGGAGGGAGGTCTGCTAGTACAATATTTAAGAGTCTGACCCCCTAGGGGGCTGAGTTAGGGGCCAAAAAGGGGAGAAATTTTGGAAAATTTCAAAAATCTTCTCTATAGTTACAAAAATGCCAGGATCAAATACTACCCATAGCTGTAAAAGCGTTGAGGTGGTTTATAAAAATTGTGATTTTCATGTCTACCAGGCACCCAGTTTGTCCTGGTGAGGGGGTGAAATTTAGTATAGTTTATATAGGAATATTCATAATAGGCCATATCTTCCAATATTTTGAACGGAGTTTGCTCATATTTGACAGAAATACTTGTTAGGGGAGGAAGGTCTGCTGGTATAATTTGTGAGCATGACCCCCTAGGGGTTTGGGGTGAAAAAGGAGGCGAATTTCAAAAATCTTCTTCTGTAGTTCCAGAAATGCTAGTATCAAATACTACTCATAGTTGTAAAGGCCTTCGAGTGGTTTATATACTTTGTGATTTTCATGTGCCCCAGGTCCCTCGTTTTCCTTTGGGGAGGGGTTAAAGTTTGGTATTGTTTATATCGACAATTTGACAAATGAACAGCCATCACATATTTTTTTTATCTCCAACCCAACTAATGTGCTAGTAATAGTAACAACCTTAATTCTTTATGAATTATAAAGTCTCCATAATAACGCTTCCAAGTTCTTGCCCTACATGTCTGAAGTGGTTACAAATTGGCATTACAGATGAGCGATACAGGCCGCCTGGGCCTCTTGTTTGAGTACACACTACACCATATAGTCTCTTTCAACCAGACACTTGATCACTTTTAATAGTTTTGTTGAGTACATGATACAACATTCCTGCAATAGCTAGTCCAGCGTTAACTTTTACTTTAAACAACTTCTTCTTGGTAACCAAAAGGCCAAGGGTGATGATATTTGGCCAGAAGCATGCTGGGATGAAGGCTACCAAGTTTGTTCATTACCTTCATCAATTTTCAAGGTCACAGTGGTCAAATATGTTTAAAACATTTAAACAACTTATTCTGAATAACCAAGAGGCCTAGGGTGATGATATTTAGCCAGAAATATGCTGGGATGAATGGCTACCTAGTTTGTTCAAATAAATGATCTTGACTTATATTCAAGGTCACAGGGGGTCAAATTTGTTAAATACTTCAAACAACAATATCCTAAGAACCATTTGGACTAGAGTCATGATAATTATGTATGTTATGTAGACCAGCAGTGCAAAACATTTTTCTTAATTACAGTAATGAGGTAAAGGTCAACTTTAAGTGCTAGTCATGGGTCAAATGCAACATGGTTTAAAAGCTTTAACAATCTTTTTCTCAAATTCCATAAGGTCCAGGGTAATGCTATTTGGCCAGTAGGTACCTGGGATGGAGTGCTATGAAGGACCTCATTATAATGACATTGACCTAGTTTCAAGGTCACAGGGGTCAGATATGTTTAAAACTTCAAACAAGATATCCTTAGAAGCATTTGGTCTAGAGTCATGATACTTGGGTATGTTATAAAGACCAGCTGTGAATCGTTTTCTTTTTTCACAGTAATGAGGTCAAATGTCAACTTAAGGTAATAGGATTGTGTCACCATTTCTCAGTAGATTTTTTTTTAATTTTGTAGTTATATTGCTTTGAAGTTAAGAAAATTTTCTGCCCCCAAAAAAATATAGGTTGTCAGAATTTTAAGAATTTTAAATGGAATTTTATGTAAAAAGGATTGAATTTTGGAAAAAAAATGAAAGGCACGTTTTATTGCAAAATAATGTCAATACAAATGTGACTGACATAGATAAGTATTGCATTAATGTATATCAATTTAAAAAATGCTGAAATTGTGTAAAATTAATTATTTATAGACGATTAAAAATTGACATTTTATAATAAAACCATATACACATGGTAATTGAATGGAAGAGTTATCGTTCTTGAAAAACTTCACAGTAGTGAAATAGGTAGCCGGTTTCCCGAAGTACACAAAAATGGACACTTGTGACTCATTGATAAAAAAAACACCTGAATTAATGCCTGGATTGCTTTGAAATACTTTAATATTGAGAGAACACACTGTTCTGTCAATAATAAACATACACTATTCATCAGTTTAATATTAAACATTAGAATATGCGGAAATTGTGATACTGTCTCCCTACATTGGATTTTCAACTAGGGATGTACTTCCTATTTCCGTTTATTAATACACTCCTATGACCTTAAGGTGCTAGCCGGAGTCAAAGGTCAACATTGGTTAAAAGCTTTAAAATTAAAATTTGAGGAATTTCAAATAACAATATCTTAAGAAGCGTCTAAGAGATGTTAAAATGTCTTGTATTCTAGTTATCAAATTTGGTCTAAAGTTACCTATATGTCAGTTTCATGTAACAAAAGAAACAGGTGAGCGATACAGGCCCTCTATGCCTCTTGTTACCGTTACGCGACCGCAAGATTCTTTTGATGTACTAGTCTTCTCAATTGTTTCATCAACAACTTAGCACACTAGTACTGAGCCTTCAAATGAGCGTAACCCTCGGAGTATCGAGATTGGGACCGCATTAGAGCTGAAAAGTCTCCGAATAAATGTTACGGGGGAGGTTATTCCACTTTTCATGTAGAGATGTAGCCAGTTTGTTGACGTTAAACCTCCAACCAAACTCGTCCCAAAGTTGTTCAGTAGGATTTAAGTCTGGAGGAAGCACGGAAACGACATATTCCATTCAGGAAGACCAATATAACCTTTGTCGTATGCGGCCGATCGTTGTCCTATGGAAACGTCACAAGTTTGTTCTGATTTTAATGACGTTGTAGCAGTGGAACCGCCGCCACCAAAACGATCACACAGGAAAACACATTCCTGTCAATAGCGTCCAAGTGGAGGTCTGTAGACGCGTGTTCTACCGTCAGCAGGTGAGTGATTGAATCGGTTCTCAGCACTAAACACAACGTCAAGCCAATTTCGCAGATTAGCAAGTTTACCTCTTGTTCATTGTAGACGGCTGACCGGATGACGTTGTGTTTGTCCAGTCACTGGACGACGTCACAACATTCGCTCTTTAAGACGTCTTACTGTCCGTGGGGGAATTGGGCGCCCTTGACAGCCTGTCATGCTAGCGAAGTTGCCGAATAAAGATGCCCTGATGTCTTGTAGTGATGCGACGTTGGCCTGGGCCCGTATTCATGAAACCGTTCTCATGCTCAAGCATGGATTCTGTGCTCAAGCCACTTTTCTTGTAACCCACC